TACACGTAGGAGATGAAACTATTTTTCCGGATTTAAATCGCGTATATTTGGTCGGTTTGTTTGAAAAAAAAACAAATATACGTGATTTAAATCCGGAAAAATAGTTTCATTTCCTATCCAAATGGTATTGTTAGCTCACGCACCAAAAACCATCAATTGTATCTTTTTCTTTATGATGGTGGTAGTACTTTGGCCATACTTGTAGTATTTGTTCGTGCTCCGGACGGCTTCACCGGCGGCGCTTCAGTTGTGACGTGGCTGCACTCCGCAGCGGTCGGCTCCGTCGCGTCACCTGCGCGGAATTTTACGACAAAATATACAAAAATGCAAAGGGCACAGCAAAACGCTTAAAAATATTACAACGTATTTTTAAAACTATTTTGGAAACTTCTTAATTGTGATTATGAATAAGTGTACGTTCTAGGTGATTCAAAATTAAAAACTTTGAAAAAAGAATAAAACTTCTTTTTCGGGGTGAAGAGAATGTAGTTTTGTGAATTTAATTCGTAAAATGATCATATCAATATTAGTTCGTAAAGTAACAATTTCGCTTAATTTAATTTTTGATAATTAAGTTTTTAATCTAAGTGAAATTTGTTTAGTAACAACGGTTAAAAGTGCGCGCTAAAATTGTAAATTAGACATTCGTAAATTAAAAAATGTGTTAATTACAAAATATACTTTGTGAAGTTTTAATGACGCCATTAAAAAACTTTATTGTTTGAAAAACTGAGCAGAGTTGCAAAAATACACTTTTATGTCTCTACATTACGATGTTGACACCATAAAGATATTTTAGTGTTATTGAAATAAACTTACAACAAGATTTTCGTTCAACTAGGTATTACTATTAAAATAAATTCAGTTCTGGTCATTGTTTTGTTGGAGGCAATTCGTGAGACTAGTGCCCAGCGATGCGATGCACCTCGCTGTCGTCTCGCATGTTCTGGACTACAACATTCACATTGACCCTAAGCCCTAAAGTGCAAGTGTTTATTTTAGTAAATTCCTCAATGGTAGTTTAGGGATTAATTGGTAGTATTTGCGGCTTTTAATATCGTGCTCTGGAATTGTATTGTACGTGATTAAAACTATGTTTAGTCAGGCTTTTAAGCTGTTCCGACTCTTTGCTTCGAGACGCCATTACTGAAAGGAAACTAGTTCCAACGTCATTTTTACTCAGTATTTGAAATGGGCATATAATTATGTCTTGACAAAAGGACAAAATGCTTTAACATCATCGCTTGGTGCCCTGTAGGGTCGCCAATCTTGATTATCAAGATTTTTGTTGTCTATATATACTTGTCATTTTTTTATTCGAACAATGAAATGTTCGCGACTTCACACGAAATGTTTGCGAATTAGTCACAGTTACCAAAACTAACTTAATACAAATAAACAAGCCTCTTTCTCATTGTAAGCGCATTTTAGGAGTCCCACCCCACGGCTATACCTTTAGTTGCTCGAAAGCCCTTGCAGTGCTACGCAGTCGATATCCCTTTTCTGAACTCAGAGCGATAAATAATAATAACTGCGACTAATATAGGATTAAATGCGCGCTGGCGCATAAAAAGGGGCGTCGCTTATTTGCGTTGCGCAAACATGATTTACTTTGAACATCAGTATTTCTATATTTTTTCGCTGTGCTAAAAAATGTTTATGAACATACGTATTTGATTCACCGAGTGCAAAATTCTTGTGCTCGCTATTGTTTTCGAATTCTTCCTTGCACACAAATTCGGCATTCAGAAAATGGAGGCCCATCAGAAGCTGCATTTGGCCTGCCTAATGTTTGATATAGTTAAAACCCACAATCCTGATCTATCTTTTTTTTTTTTTTTTTTTTATACCTGACAGGCAAATGACTCCACTCCACCTGATGTTAAGTGGAAAGTGGTATCCAAACGCGAAGGAACCTATCTATCTGATACTATCTATACCACAAAATTAATTGGTCACAACGTGTAAGGGGGAATGAGTTCCGATTAGTTTGTAAAAATGTTATTAACATCCCAAAACCAGAACGACTGGTTTTCGCGGCGGTTTCAGGTATGGCGCCAGTAAGTGCTGGAATGATATTCCTTCTTCGTTGCGTCAATAGCAAAAACCGATTTAAGCGTGAATACAACAAACATCTTTTGTCTGAGCAGATATGTCTCGCTACATAGATATTTCCTTAATCGATGGGTTTGATACCTGTAAATCTGAATTTCCGTACCTATATGCAGGGTGTCCGGTAAAGAATGGATAAGCCTGAAATACCTTATGGTAGAGCTTATGAACGTTCAAAAAAATATGTAAAGAAAAATATATCCCATGTAGTACCTAAGATATATTTCTTTTTAATTTAATTATTTTCACTTTATTTTACGTTTTTGTGCACCACGACTACAAGTTAATCAGTTCTTTCGGTTTTTCGGTGTCATAATATTGTACATTAACTGTGCTAATAGATAGGCAGTAAATAGTATAACTAAGTATGGCACTTAAATTGAAAAAAAGTTTTATTTTATTTTTCAGTGCAAAATTTTTTTTCACAAGTTTAAGCATCTTTGATATAAAAAAAAATTACGATAACCTATGTGGCCAACTATTCTAAAATAATGTGTGTTTAAAGTATATTTCAAAATGGTATAATTCATTATTGTATCTAATATAAATAGAAAATTATTGCTATTAATGTGCAAAAGGAGTAAATTTGACTAAAAACTAAGTTTTCAAAATTGGACCAATTTTTGTCCTGAATTGAGGTTGACCATTGAGGTTCAATAAAAAAAAAACAATATTAGAAACAAATAGAACTTTATTATTTACAGCAAATGTTCAAACTGTTTGCCACTGATTCTGATACAGGCTTTACATCTTCGAATAAAAGCCCTTTTGAGTAGCCGCATATATCGTCATTCACTTATTGCTGCAGCGGCTGCACTGGCACGGCTACGTAAGTCTTCCAAGGACCTGATCGGCTTACTATACACAATTTTCTTAAGGCAGCCCCAATAAAAAAAATCCAGTAGATTTAGGTCCGGTGAACGCGGAGGCCATAAAATTGGCCCCGGACGGCCGATCCATCTGTCTGGGTACTGTAGCCTAGAGACGTAGCTCAGGTCGCGTAGCGAGAGGTACTTTATGAATATAAACTGGGATTATCTTCATAACTAGATATTTATTGTATTTTTCACATATTCACTTATGGAGGCTACTTCTAGATCTGTCAAGATATTCTTCTTTCTATCCTATTTTTTTAAATACATTCTAAATACAAATCTATATTCATTCAGCCAATACTTTTACTCATAGAGTAGAGCCTGGACTACATCCCTCTTCCTCACAAATGAAGGGGTGAACATCCCTAGCTGGTGCCCTACCTATGATAGGCAACTTCATAAGTGATCAGCCTTTACTATAGGCTAGCCACACACTGCTCGGAAACTACTACCTTACCAACAAGCAAACCACGGAGGAGGCTATGGCTTTAGTCTGCCAAAAACCTATCTAAAAGGACAGACCATGACCACATTCGAATCAAACAATTCAAAATATAATTATTCGTTAGCTACCCTAGCTATTTAAGTGACCTGTCTAAATCCTAACTCTTTATTTCAGCTACCCTAGTTCGGCTGAATGTTCCTAACTACATATGATATGACGATATACCATATGGAGGATTCCTAATAATGAAACAAATATATTTTCCTTAAATGCAGATGTTCATCTGGGAGAGAGACCATGAACTATGCACACACACATGACAATATATCCATCAAATAAAAAATAAAATAAAAAGTAAGTTATATCTATCCAAGTCGGTAGTCCATCTTTTGTGTTTTTCACATATTCACTTATGGAGGCTACTTCTAGATCTGCCAAGATGTTATTCTTTCTATCTTATTTTTTAAATACATTCTAACCTTTTTGTGCAAAAAGCATCATCTTTTGCCACTCGATGAGCGACGGCAGATTGCTGATGTAGTTTTTCTTAATAAAATTGCTATAGGTGTTATTGACTCCCCGGAACTTGTGGCCAAGGTCTCTCTTAGAGCCCCTTCAAGGGCCCTTAGGTTTAATCCACTCCTATACGTACCCCCAGCTTCCTCGAACTTTCGGCAGAATGCATTTCTTTTACGGGCAAGCGATAGCTTTAATTCATTATCTAAGCAGGTCGACATCGATCTCTTCAACACTGGTGCGACATCGGTAAAGCGTGTTATGACTAAGTTGGTTTTTGATAGGTAATTGTTTGTTTATTTTTCTTTTTTTTTGTGTGTGTGTTAATATATGAGTTGTAAATTTGTTTAATCTGTTTTGTGGATAAGCTACTTTTATTCTTTTTTCTTTTTATATGTACGAGTATAGTTAAGTGATGCTCCAAATTTTGTTTATAGTGTTTCTATTGGTGGGGACCTTTAATTGGCTTTCTAATTTTATTTAAGTTTTTATTTTGTATAACAGCCGTTGGTTCTCCTTCAAATAAAATAAAATAAAAAATAAAATAAAATAAACACACATCTATATTCATTCAGCCAGTACTTCTACTCATTGACTAGAGCCTGGACTACAGTACGTTCTATTCAAGTATGCTCGAACAGGGACCGAATAGTGCGCAGAACAGCTATCATTTTGTAACCAATGGGATTCCCTCAGCTCCTCTGGCACGTCTTCCATTAAATTAGGGAGATCATTCTGAAGGAACTCCAAATAACTTTGACCAGTTATCATAATTTTTTTTATATCAAAGATGCTTAAACTATGTGCAAAAAAAAATTTTGCACTGTGTTTGATAAATTGTCTATTCGGTGTTCAAGATTGAACGACACAATGAATTGATGCTTTTAACACTGTATATTCTGTACTTTGATTACAAGGAATTAATTTTAAATATATATCAAAATAACAGTCGCACTTGATCCGTAGCCATAGCATGTAATGTCACATTTTTTTCTTCTCACTGACGTTTCTACACCGCATTCCCACGCAGCCCCCTCCGTGGCCCAGTGGTGTTATCGGCGCGAACATCTTCCCCCCGTATCTCTATCTTCTATCTTGAAGACCGTAGGATTTCGAGGAGAAGCCATCATCTGCTGATCATCTGTCTGCGCAGTAGGTAGGGGACAAAGGTTGCTCACGGCGCAACGTATTATGCCTTTCGATGTTGTAACATCTGCCACGCGAGCGACTCCGTCAGGTCCAGGGTAGAGCTGGTGTATGCGGCCCATTCGCCATTTTAAAGGGGGTAGGTTGGCCTCCTTGAGGATGACCATGTCTCCTAGCAATAGTTGTCCTTTGTTGATTCGCCACTTGGATCGTTGTTGTAGTTCACATAGGAATTCGTGACGCCATCTCTCCCAAAAACGCTGTCTCAGGTTCTCGATATGTTGAAATGTGTTCAATTGGCTAGCTTTACTCTCGAGCAGTGGTGGTAAGAGCAGCGAAGTAAGAGGTCTGCTGATCAGGAAATGCCCAGGAGTCAAGGGATAAAGGTCTGAAGGATCCGATGAGAGTGGAGTGAGGGGTCTCGAATTCAATATTGCCTCGATTTGAACGAACAATGTCGATAATTCTTCATAAGTGAAATGATTATTACCTAACATTCTAATTAAGTGATATTTTGCGGACTTTACGCCCGCCTCCCAAAGCCCACCAAAGTGAGGGGAATAAGCCGGTGAGAATTTGAACATAATGCCTTCGTCGGCAGCAAATGACGAGATTGACTCATTGCATGATTGTAAAAATTTTGTAAGTTCATTATTTGCACCTACAAAATTACGACCGTTATCACAATGGATCTCAGTAGGTTTTCCCCTACGAGATATGAAACGTTTTAGGCATAACATGAATATTTCGGTGCTGAGGTCGGATGCAATTTCCAAATGTAGAGCTCTGGTTGAGAAATAAATAAATAGGCACAAATAGCTCTTAATAATTTTGCATCCGCGCCCTTTACGATCCTTTATAGGAAAAGGAGCTGTAAAATCGACACCTGACACTTGGAATGGTAAGTTTGGAGTAACTCTCGAGCTAGGCAAGTTTCCCATTACGGGAGTTACAGTTTTAGCTTTTATTATTCCGCACAATCTACAACTGTTCGTGGTGCTTCTAGCTAACCGTCTACCCGTTATTGGCCAACACCTTTGTCTTATGTTTGTTAGTAATGCTTGTGGGCCGCAATGAAAAAGTTTTTTATGTTCGTGAACAAATAATAATTTAGAAAAAACGTGATTTGACTGTAATAATATAGTACGTATTTTATCATAAGGTTCAGATGACTTTTGTATACGACCACCTACACGAAGAATGCCTGTTTCGTCTAAAAATGGTCTCAATGAGAGTAGGCCTGATTTTGATTGTAAGCCTTTTTTGTTTGTGAGTATATTAATTTCAAGTTCAAAACACTCTAATTGATCTTGCTTTACTAGGAAATGAAGAGAAGATTTTAATTCATCAGTAGTTAGATAGCCTGTGTGTTTAGAATTTGCATGCCGTAAATTGTGATAAAACCGTAGTATATAAGCTACACTTATTTGCAGAGTGGAGAACTTCGAGTACCGTTCGACATTCACCAGCCCGGTGATGGTTTTAGTAGTTATAGTGCAAGTATTTGTGTTAAGTTCTATTTCTGGTAAATTATGCGGTAAATTTCAGTCTCATGTGGCCAATTATGTTCATGGTCTAACAAGAATGAAGGGCCATGCCACCATAACTTGGCTTTGCTGATGAGCTTCGGATCTAAGCCTCGCGAGGCTAAGTCTGCGGGATTGTGAGCTCCTGGGACATGCCTACAAGAACCACCAGATGTAGACTGCTGTATTTCTGCGATACGATTCGAAACGAAAGTTTTTAAGTCACGAGGGTGAGATAGCAGCCAACCGAGGACCACGGAAGAATCAGTCCAGTAAAACATTTTTGTTATGTTAAGGCGAAGAGCCTTTAAAACCTTAGAAGACAAACGACATGCTAAGAGAGCTCCACATAGCTCTAAGCGTGGAATTGGTTGAGGTTTTACTGGGGCAACTTTAAGTCTTAGCACATAACAGGTTAACTTGTACCTCACCAAGTCTATTAAGAGATCGTAGATATACACATGCCGCATACGCATTTTGAGATGCATCGCAGAACACATGTAATTCTATATTCACCGAAACGTCACCAAGAACACACCGGGGAATTTGAAGTGAAGATAGACTATCTAAATTTGCAACAAAATTCAACCACGAATTTTGAATATCTGATAATATGGGATCATCCCAGTCTAATTTGGTGAGCCACGATTTTTGAAGAATCATTTTCGGTATGATGGTGCATGGGCTCAATAAGCCAAGGGGATCAAATAACTTAGCAGAATTGGAAAGAACATTTCTGTTTGTTGCTAAAGAAGGACACTCTATTTCTGTTGGAAATTTAAAGACGTCGGCCACTGGGTCCCACTTGAGTCCCAGTGCACTGGATTGTGAACAAAAGTCCAAGTCCCTTGGTATAAGAGAACTTGGATTGTTCTTAAAAATAGAAGGAACGTTTGAGCGAAACTTACGCAATGGAAAGCAAGCAGAATGAAATACTTTAGTGACTAGTTACGATGTGATATAATTCACTTTCTGATGCACTGCCTGAAAGAAAATCGTCGACGTAAAAATCAGATCGAATTGATTGTGCTACATTTTCGCCCGCACAATACTTTGCACACTCAATTAAACACCTACTCGTAGTACTGAGAAAGAGTGCCGATGCTGTGAAGTAGGTTATAGTAGGTATTTAATTCAAATATTTTGATAGGGATATCATCGCTATCACGCCACAAAATTCTTTGCAGGTGGCGCTGTGGTGGATGAATTAATACCTGACGGTACATTTTCTCTACGTCAGCCGAAACCACATATTGGTGTTGGCTGAATCTTAATAATATTGAGAATAAATCGTCCTGCACGACAGGATCAGCGTACTGTATATCATTAAGGGACACGCCAGATGAAGTTTCAGCTGACGCATCGAACACGGCCCTTAATTTAGTCGTTTCACTACTTTCCCGTATGATGGCATGATGTGGTAAAAAACAACCATTCGACGGAGATAGGACTTCACGCATGTGTGTCAGGCGTTCATACTCTCGCATAAACTTATTATATTCTACACGAAGTAAGGGATTTTTTCTCATTTTTCTTTCCATTTGCAATAGTCTTTTTTCAGCAATATGATATGAATCAATTACACAACACAATGAATCAATTACAATCACCTAGTACATCTGGTGATTCACGAAGAGGGATCTCAAAATCTACCGTCTTGGTCGCGGTAAGTAGTTTCTTTGAATATTTTTTCACATGGATGATCATTTAGAGAAGAAATATTGTCCGTGGGTACTTCTTCAAGTTCCCAGAACTTAGATAGTTGCTGCTGAATGTCTTTACTAAAATGACAGAAAGTTCGATTAGAAGAAGTGCAATGTTTCCCCCCCATGGGGCCAGCAACTATCCATCCTAGTTCGGCTTTTAGCAAAAGTGGTTTGTTAGGACCCAATTTTATTTTAGAAGACCCAATTATGTCCCAGAAAACGTCAACTCCTAGGAGCATGTCAATTTCTGAAGGGTAAAACAAGTGAGGATCTGCCATTGGATGTTACTAGGAATATCTAAGTCGCGAACTAGCATTTCCGCTTGAGGTAACTTGTCTGTATTTAAAGGAAGAATAAAACATTGTAACAGACATATTAAATGACGTATATGAAGAACGAATAACGAACGTTGCAGTGTTCTGTAATATTGATGACGGCATTGTTAAGACCGGATACAGACTGCAGTAGATTTTTAATTTTGGGAAGACCGATTCTGTCTAGTGCCGTCTCGGTAATAAAAGAAGACTGGGTTCCACAATCCAGCAACGCTCTCAATGTATACGATTTGTCATTATTTGTAACCTCGACTAAGGCCGTAGACAGAAGAGCCTGAGTCGAGGAAACAGCAGACATACTAACGACGCATGAAGGACACAAACACAGACTTACTAGCGTGCACAGTTTCCAATACTGCATCTCGCTTACGAAGAAATTCAAAAAATTCTGTTAATCGCGGTGACGTAAGGGTGCTCCTAAACTCTTCCCAACTCCTGGAAGTGACAGGGTCTAACTTGGCAGAAGCCACAAAGATAACAAGAGAATCCCAGTGTTCCGTGGGTTCCCCTAATGATTGTAACGCATTTAAGTTTTTAGAAATTGCATCTATTAAATCACGTAGACCCGTTTCCGATTCCCTAAGCATGGGTTCAATCGAAAACGAACATTTAATGTGTTCATTAATTAATAAACGCTTATTATTATATCTATCACAAAGAAGAGACCAAGCCATTGGATAATTTAAAGAAGACACAGATAATGAGTTTATGACAGCCTTTTTACTCAAGCCAGTTTACTCACGTCATCCACACTTTCATTATTGTGTATGAGCGACAAATACATGTCCCTGAATTCTAACCATTTATCAGAGTCCCCAATAAAAGGAGGTATTTTTAAAGGTGGTAACTTGAAATTAGTACGATTGTATGAAGAGCTATGAGAACCAGTTTCTAATTGTAATTTAGTTTCAAAATTTTTGTAAAACTTCTTGCGCTTGTGCAATTAAACCATAAAATTTGTTCTCAGTCACCTCCCTCTCACCTAGTTGCAAACTATCATTGCTATCCATAGACTCAATTTGTAATTGTATTTCATCAAAGTTGTTTAACAAATCCTGTAATTTATTTAACTTCAATGTTAGCTCGTTAAACTGACTTTTACTTATGTTAGATTCTAGCAAAGGCGTCAAATACTTTTCGAATAAAGATATACGTGTTCTTACACGACCTCTCTGTGCAATAAGTTCCTTGAAATCACTCATAATGTAAACGCAAACTCGACTTATAAAATAAGAGTATGTGTAAAAAACTAAATGTAAACAAAGAAATACAATGAGTGCAACCTCGATCCCGCACAAACCGGTCCAGTTAGACAAGCTGATGCGCGCTGTTATCACTGGTCACCCGACGCCTGCGCAAGTGCTGCGATAACGGCACAGTGCTGACATGATGATGCACGGCGTTTCGCGCTCGCCAATTCTCACCGTATTCTTCCCAAATTTTCCTGGAATTCGTTGGCGGATAGGTTTGAAACACGAGAAATTACTTCGGTTTGTTGAAAACATAACGTACTTTGACAAAAAAACCGTTAATTTGCAACGAACAAATTTACGCTAAATAAGTATTTTATTTACACCAATTCTAAAGGAAGTTTGTACTTACACATTCAATTGATTCAATTATGCTAAATGTTACTCACTAATTGTGAAATTGGAAGAAATATGACGGAAATTGAGCCAATTTCGGCCTAACAAATTAAACTTGTAGGTAGGTAGGCACACGTATGTGTGAAAGAATTGTATCGACAAAATTTGAACAAATCGAAGCAAATTGATAAGAAAGGAATTAGATTGGATAGGAACGTGCTTAATTCCCTCGGATTTGGATTGTTGCACCTCGCCCTTCAGGATTTCTCACCTTCCAGCGTCGATCAGCGATCGCGTCGGGGTCACCATAAATTGTTTGATAAATTGTCTATCCGATGTTCAGGATTGAACGACACAATGAATTGATGCTTTTAACGGTTTTAACACTGTATATTCTGTACTTTGATTACAAGGAATTAATTTTAAATATATATCAAAATAACAGTCGCACTTGGTCCGTAGCCATAGCATGTAATGTCACATTTTTTCTTCTCACTGATGTTTCTACACCGCATTCCCGCGCAGCCCCCTCCGTCGCCCAGTCCACTGGGCGACGGAGGCGCGAACGCACTGAAAAATAAAATAATTTTTTTTAAATTTAAGTGCCATAGTTAGTTATACTATTTACTGCCTATCTATTAGCACAGTTAATGTAGACTATTATGACACCAAAAAACCGAAGGAACTGATTAACTTGTAGTCGTGGTCTACAAAAACGTAAAATAAGGTGAAAATTATTTAATTGAAACAAAAAAGAAATATATCTTAGGTGAGATATATTTTTCTTTATATTTTTTTGAACGTTCATAAGCTCTACTATAAGGTATTTCAGGCTTGTCTATTCTTTACGGGACACCCTGTATATTCATATTTGGTGGCTATTGTTATAATTTAAAATTATGTTTGTAAACTTACATTATTATTTATATTGCTTACCTTCATTACTTACACCATTTACATTATTTGCTTGACATTTTACACTTTTGCGTGTGATGCACTGTGGTGGCATGGCTTACTGGGCTGCGATCGCTCACCATATGGTACTGGCAGAAAACTAGCACTGCTTGACTTCTCTCGGTCTTCAGTATTTATGCTGAGTCAGGGCCATTGCAGCACAAACTAGTCACAGGAACATTAAAATTTTATCAGTTCTAATAGTATTTGTTTGTTTTTCTCGCAGTATTTGTGTTATAATATAAATGTATGTTGCCAAGTCTAGAAACACTGAATTTTTTACGTTAAATGATGATTTATAAGTAACTTATATATTTGCAGTATCGGCGTGGTTTGTCAGTAACAAAATTTAGACAGCTTATTGACTATTATTTAAAAATCCGAAATTATATCAGTTAAAATCTAAAAAGATTCTATACCTGCTTAAAGGAACTGTCTTTTGTCTAGACAGATATTAAAGGAGCGCGATACAAATAAAGCTATGCAATATTTCCACGACAACTTAACCGTATTGTATAATCTCAAGATTCCGTAAATCAATTAGTGTCCAATAAATATTAAAAAACCAAAATGTAAAACTGAGGGAATATTGCGTTACCAATACTACGCCGTAAAGTCAGAAATCAAAAATCAACAACTTATAAGAAATGCAAAAAATGAAGCAAACACATCTTGGAATATTGCGGAAAATGGATATAATAATCTTAGTAGTGACCAATTTATACATGAAATTGTAATAAATAATAGTACTATAACTGACCCTGTCTGCATAGCTGATGAATTTGACAATTATCTAATTGATTTATCAAACTCAAACAAAAAATAACAAACTCACTTGACAAATAGTATTTGTATCCAACCCTTGGACGCTATAGAGAGTAATATCATTAAATAGTACAAATACAACAGGATATGATGATATTATATCGACCAGAGTTGTCAAACATTGTGCAACTGAGCTGAATGCGCTCCCACTCATTTGATTAATCTATCTATTGAAAAGGTACCTTTCCGGAATGTTTAAAACATCAATTATTAAGCCTACACACAAAAAGGGCACCAAAACTGACATGGTAATTACCGTCCCATTTTATTAGTTCCAGTGTTTTCCAAAGTTTTTAAAAAGCAATAAAAACGAGGCTTCTCAATTTTGATTTTTTTATGATATCACGTGACGGGACGAACGAGTCATGTACCTGGTGGTAAGCGTCACGCCTGTCCATAACAGTTGCAGTGCCGCCCAGAGCTTTAAGTCGCAAGGATTAGAGAAGGGGCTCTGCCACTGCGCCCTTCACCCAGAGATGCTATTAGTTGACAAGTCCCATGTGCCTGCAATTTCACCAGCACCCTTACCCTTCAAAACCAAAACGCAGTAATGCCCACAGTACTGCTTGGCGGCAGATATAGGTACTTCCCTGGACGAACTCTTTCACTAGGAGTTCTACTGCTACTAAAAAAGCTTCTAAATACAACTTAATAAAATAATAATCAAACACATTATGTTTGTAGGGACAACTGTATGTATAATAATATATAGCACATATACATTATAACCTTAATTCAACGCCGTTATTGCAAATCTTGTCTATTACAACCAAACGAGATTTAATGATTTCATAAAACGGTTAAGTGACATTAAAGTGGCAGTCTCAATAAAAGATGAATTGCGCAGGCGGACGGAAACATAAAACAATGTGTTTGAACGGCAATCGTCAAGGAAGGCGTCGGATTATCAAATCTCGACAATGTTGCAAATGCAGTCTTATAAAACAATGTCGTCGCAAGCAATGAAAAACCTTCAGTTGCTTGAAGATTTGCAAGTCCGATGCGTTTGTATGAAATAACAATACTATGAACAATACAATACAACTCAAAAATTGTGCGAAGGTCTGCAAAAGAAAATATAGTTTAATTATATCACGGAAGAAAAAACGACGGTAGTGCCTTAAGTCTCGATTACCTACAATCAGAACTATGTGTCGCTAAAACTCACACATTCATAATTTGAAACACTATGAAACACAGACCACATAAATAAGCTAATCTTGATAATGATGAATGATTGGTCGTAGTTTCTAATTTAAAAATAAATAAATTCTGGACTGTCAATATAACTTAAACTTTACCCTGTTGGCATATCGTCGAAAGTTGGATACCTATTATTGCAAGGATTTTATATTGAAATTGCAATCAATGTGCTGCCATCCAGCGATCAATAGCTGGACGACGACTAAGATGAATTCGAGATGTTCACTTAGTTCTCCAAAAAAGAAGCGACCATATTGCAGCGGTATAAGCTTTACTTTCGTATTATGAAAAAAAATATTACGTAACATAGAAGATTTATTAAAAAGAAAATAAATTAAAATAACATTTAACTATGACAAATGAAATACCACCATAGATTACAAGTGCGACTATCATTTTTTCACTTCACAGCGCACAGTAGCAAAATAAAGCATTTTCTACGATTTTTGTGGTTTTATAATTGACACTACCATAATGTACAAAACGAAAATGGCGGACTGAGCTTAAGTATTATCGGGTACTGTTGGCATACGAATCACGCAAAATACCAACAAATGCACGTCGGGTTCGCGCTAAAAAGTGTTCGCACCTATAGGGCGTTGAAATCGTATACCTACAGAGTTTGTTCGACTGACAGCGCGGTTGTCAATCATGCAGTACTATATAATTGTATGATTAAACGAACTTACCTTAAGTGAAGTTCTATCATAATTATGCGAAACTCCTTGTCCGAGACGGTTTAACGATGTAGTATACGTTGATTGTACAAGCGCCGTCACAATTTTTAAAGATCTAAAACAAAAAACTTCTAGGCCGTATATTTGTTTAGATATGGCAACTCTAATGTCATTACGTTTAAAGTATTATCATGAACAACCCTATCTAGGGAAAAAATTCAAAAAAGAAATGATGATAAATTTCTGGGAGGGATGGGTATGCCGTCTCGGACAAGGAGTTTCGCATAATTATGATAGAACTTCACTTAAGGTAAGTTCGTTTAATCATACAATTATGCTCTCTCCTTGTCCGAGACGGTTTAACGATGTAGCTGTTTGAAGCTAGGGTTGTGAATGAATAGTCTATGTTACATAGTCATAAAGATTTACATTCTTTATTTTTATTTTAAATTATTTTATGCTATAAACATTCACTTACACATTTTAAATAATTTTAAATAATTTGTGTGCAAGACAATTAAGAACCATATTTTATATATAGTTCTCAATTGTCTGACACACAACAGTACTAAAGGACGACGGATCATTTATTACAGGGCGGTTATAGAATCTGGCGAAGGTCTCAGAATTTTGAGACCAGCCTGCAGTTTTCCTTATGTCTTCTATATTAAGTCCAGACCTCTTTGCCGCTGAAGTTGATGCATGTCGGGTACTGTGGGCCGTGAAAGAGGTCATATCTATACCAGCTTCTTCTATAGTAGTCTTTGTCCAACGGCTTATAGTTTGACAAGACGCATTTTTGTGCGGCTTTTTATATGTAATAATCAAATTTTGAATATCTTTTCTTATGGACTGTGTGATATTTATATAGGATCTTATGATATGAACTGGGCAGATTTCTATTTTATTGTTGTAAGTTTTTAGATGTAACATTGGTTGTAGGGCACCTCGTTTTGTAGTCTTTATGATATCCGGAATATGTATCTGAATTCCTTGATGAACCACCTTAATATTATTTAGTTTAATTAAGGACAGGGTTTGAACCCTATGTCCCGTCGTCAATGCTAATATAGTGACTAACTTTTTAGTTAGTTTTTCCAAGCTTATATCCACATGTGGATACCATAAGGCTACATGGTTTAAAACTAAACCAGGATCCCAGGTAAAATTGTATTTTGGTCTAGGAGGTTTTGATCGGAAGACTCCTTTAATAAATCTTTTGATTCTTTCATCATTTCCAACTTGTTGTCCTATTATAAGTGATAAGGCGGACCTTGTCGAATTTATGGCGCCATTATTAAATTTTTCATTTAAAAATGTTAGAATATTAGGCACTGGGGCTTCATAAGGGCTTATTTTTTGCTGTTCACAAAAATACCACCAGGATTTTAATGCTGTGTCGTACTGTTTCATTGAGTTGTTGGCGAGAGAATTTAGCATAACAGGAATTGCGGAGGCCGGAGTTCCTCTTCTCACATACGCTTCGCTGACAACAGCCCTGCTGCCAGGGTAATTTGTCGATGTAGTGGGTGTACATGTCTGAAAGGTGATGAAAGTAATGTTTTGTTGGGTTGAAATAGTATAGGTTCGCCTATAATAAGTTGTTTCATCAAGGGAAACCAGGGCTGTGATGGCCAGTAGGGAAAAACAAGGACTCCAGTAGCTTGATCTGTCACAATTTTGCGTATACATTTTAGAACTAAGCTGAAAGGGGGGAAAGCATAAAAGAAAAATGGTTTCCAACAAAGGGTAAAAGCGTCTACTGTAAAAGCTTCAGGGTCTTTTTCCATGACACAAATTTTGGACACTTATTATTTATTCTAGATGCGAATAGGTCTATTTCTGGGATGAAATTATCTTTTGTGTTAATATAGGATGCAAAAACCCAGATATTTTTACCTTCACACCAATTCCAAATCTGTCTACTAATGTCGTTTAAGTGCGGAAACTGTATTCCTCCATTTTTATTTATGTAAGCTACAGCTGTTGTATTGTCAATTCTTAATAAAATTTCACAGTTCTGTAAATTTTTCGCAAAACATTGTAATCCCAGAATGCCGCTTTTAGTTCAAGGTAATTTATGTGGAATTTTGTGTCAGATCGTGACCAAGATCCTGAGGTTTTTTCCGAGCCGCAGACTGCACCCCAGCCTGTTGATGACGCATCAGTATGGATTTCAACTTCAAATTGAAATTGTTTTATAGGATTAGAATTTTTTATATTTTTAGTCCACCAACATAATTCTGGCCAGATTTTATCTGAAAGGTACATAATATCGTCATAATTGTCATAAGATTTTAATAGGGCTAGGTATTTTTCTCTCTCTAAAAGTTTTGTATATACCCAGCCATATGGAACAGCTGGACAAACAGAATTTAGAGAGCCTAACAGTTGTGAAAATTCTCGAATTTTACAGTGTGTTTTCTTTTGAAAAGATTTAATTTTTTCTAAAATATTTCGTTGTTTTTCTTTTGGTACAGATAGAGTAAGATTTCTAGAGTTTAATAAAAACCCTAAATATTTACATGTTTTATTTGGTTCAAGGACACTTTTTTCAAAGTTAACAACAAATCCCAAATCCTTTAATAGTTTGCATGCAAATACTACGTCTTGTCTACATGTATTTTTGTCTTTGTTGAAAATAATGCTGTCATCTAAATAACAAGACATAAGAATGTTTTTATTTCTGAGATAAGTATTAACTGGTTTTAATAATTTTGTGAAAACAAATGGGGCAGTACATAATCCATAAGGCAGGACATTAAACTGGTATAGTTTCTCATCAAATATGAATCTTAGAAATCTCTTTGAATTTTCAGATATAGGGACAGAAAAATATGCTTCTTTTAAATCTACCGTGGCCATGTAATAATTTTTTGAGATCAATTTGCATGATGTTCTAATATCTTCCAATTTAAAGTGTTCTGTATTTATGTATCCTTGTAAATTGGGAACGTGGAATGTCAATACACTATTGGCACCGGGAAGATTGGAGGAGCTACTATTGGAAATGAAGGGACTAGAAATAGAAGTGTTGGGGTTAGGAGAAATAAGATGGGAAGGGAGCGGAGATTTTTGGCTTGGCGATTATAGGATCATCTATATACAGGAGATAAAAGGGGAAGTTATGGAACAGCCATTATACTGAATAAAAAATGGGGCAATTTAGTAGAGAATACCATTCATCATAGTGACAGAATAACGGCCGTAAAACTTAAAGCGATACCAGAAGATTTAGTAGTCATACAAGTATATATGCCGACAGGACAACACCCAGATGAAGAGATTGAACATATGTATGATCAAATAGATTCCATAATAGATGCGACTAAAGAAAAAGATAACTTGATAATAATGGGAGATTTTAATGCTGTTGTAGGGGAGGGTAAAGTAGAGAATATTGTTGGAGAGTTTGGTTTGGGAAAAAGAAATAAGAGAGGTGAAAGGTTAATTCAATTTTGCAGAGAACATAATTTGTCAGTTTTAAATACCCAGTTCAAAAATCCAAAAAGAAGACTTTATACGTGGAAAATGCCCGGAGATATAGTAAGATACCAAATAGATTTCATACTCGTTAGACAAAAATTTAGATATCAAGTGAAAAATTGTAAAGCTCTCCCTGGGGCAGACATGAATACTGACCATAACCTTTTAGTTACCATACTTAATTTACACGCAAAAAAGTGTAATAGAAAAACTAAAACCAAAGAAATTGATCTCAGTAGATTAAAGGAACACAATTATAACGTGCAATATCATAATAAAGTAGGAAATAAATTAGTTAAGTTCAAAGAGTGCAATAATTTAGATGATATGGACGTTGACGATAGATGGAAAAACGCAAGAGATATTATGAGGACAAGTGCAGAAGAAATATTAAAGAAAGCAAAAATAGTGCCAAGAAAGACGTGGCTAGACAAAGAAACCAGTGATCTAATTCTAAAAAGAAGACAGTACAAAAACAAATCGGATTCAAAAAGTAGGGAGGAGTACAGACGACTGACGAATAAAATAACTAACTACTGTAGAAATAGTAAAATGAGAGAGATTGAGAACAACTGCAAGGAAATAGAATACTATTTACGAAAGGGGAATATAGATAAAGCCTATAGTAAAATAAAAAGCATGAATAAAAATAACAGAACCCGAAGTACAACCATTCTAAGTGAAGACGGAACAATTATATTGGACAGTGGGGGAATCGCAAACAGGTGGAAGAGATACATAGAGGAACTATACGAGGGGGAGGAATTGGTTGATAGTGATCTGGAAGATGAAGGGTGTGTTGGTGAGGACGAGCTTGGGCCGGAAATAATTAGAGATGAATTTGATTTGGCGGTGAGGAACATTAAAAATGGTAAAGCAGCGGGTTATGACCGCATCTTCATAGAACTCATAAAGAAAGCACCGGATCAAATGATAGACGAGATTTTCGAAATAATTACAAAAATTTACCGGTCAGGAAAAGTGCCTTTGGATTTTTGTGTCAGTAAAACAATAGCAATACCCAAGAAACATGACACTCGTAAATGTGAAGAACATGGAACCATCAGTTTGATCTCACAAGCATCAAAAATAATTTTGAAAATCATCCAAAATAGAATTAGACCAAAGGTTGAATCATTCATTGGAAACGACCAATACGGCTTCAGACAGGGCAAGGGTACCAGAGAGGCAATCTTGGCATTGAGGCAGATAGTAGACAGAAGGTTGGATTTGAATTTAGAGACCTATTTAGCCTTTATTGATTTAGAAAAAGCTTTTGATAGGGTGAATTGGGGGATGATGATGGAAGTGCTGAGAAGGGCCGGGATTGACTACAGGGATAGAAGAATTGTTTTTGAACTATATAAAAAGCAAGAAACCATCATAGAAATAGAAGAAAAAAGTAGAAAAGCAAGAATCAAACGGGGAGTACGACAGGGTTGTTCACTTTCGCCACTAATTTTCAACATTTTTATCGAAAGCGCAATACGAAAGATTTTAGAAACATCTACAGAAGGAATAAAAGTTAATGGGGACAGAGTGGTTTTTATTAGATTTGCCGATGATATCGCTGTAGTTACGGAGAGCAGAGAACAGCTGGAAGCCCTTCTCAATAGAATGAATCAGATTTTACGGAATTCCGTTTGACAATTAATAAAAGTAAGACCAAAATATTGGTTGTCTCAAAACAACCTATCAGAGTTAACCCTATTCGTATAAATGATACTCCAGTGGAGCAGGTTCCGCATTTCAAATACCTTGGTAGCATTATTACAGAGGACTCTAAATGTACCACAGACATAAGGACCAGAGTTGCAATGGCGAAGCAGGCATTCCATAATAAAAGAAACATTCTCACATCAGGAATACCGTTGGATCTGAAAAAAAGTTTTGTGAAAGCCTATGTCTGGAGCACTGCACTCTATGGATGTGAGACCTGGACCATCACAAAGAGAGACAGAGAGCGATTGGAGGCATTTGAAATGTGGTGCTGGAGACGTATGGAGAGGATAAGCTGGACCGAGAGAGTGACTAATGAGGACGTTCTGGAGAGGATTGGGGAACGGAGAGGCCTGACGGAGACAATAGAGAATAGGAGGGGAAAAATGTTTGGACATTTGTTGCGCAACGACGAACTATTGACGGTTGTTGTTGAGGGAAAGATGGAAGGAAGGAGACAAAGAGGAAGACCGAGAATGACATTCTGTGACCAAATAAAAACAAAGGTTAATGTGAGCAGTTACAGGGAGGTCAAGGAGTTGGCTATGGACCGTGAGGAGTGGAGGAGGCTACACCGACAAGAGCATGGCTCTTAAATAAAATGAATGTATGTATATTTGTATAATGTATGTATATTTGTATAATGTATGTATATTATGTGTGTATTTGTTTAACTGTTTTAAATTTAAAATAAACCTAAATGAACCATTTTGTTTAGGAATTAGAAATATTGGGGAAATAAATTGGTTTGGATTATGACTACATTCTGAAATAGCTCCTAATTTAATAAGCTTATTGATTTCAGAGTTTATGACCTGTTTTTCAGTGTCATGATATGTCTGTGATTGTAAATCGTGTGGTGGGGGTGGTTCATTGAATGGAATTTCATAGCCTTTTAGCCATTCTAGTATTACAGGATCATCTGTTATTTCTAACCAATTATCAAAGTAATTCTGTATTCTACCTCCATGTACCTGTGTATTTATTTGTGGTATCGGGGTCTCGACTTCGGTGGGGATCGTCTCTGGAATTTCTGGCGAGGTTGATTGAAGTGGGGCTGGTTTAAGCGGCGTAGAGGGTTCTGTCTCTTGATCGGGTATTGTGATAGTGGCCCACTGCGAGGTTGTTGTTGTGGCAGTGGGCTTTTCCAGTTTCCCCGTTTTTTATTGGCTGTACTAGGTGTTTTCTTTTCAGGAACTCGTATTTGATTACTTGTTTTCTGTATCTTCTGAGCTGCATTTATTTTTTCCATACAATCTTTTCCGAAAAGATATTCATCTGGAATTGTATTTTTAAGAGCTTCTTGTATAGTCTTTGTTGTACTTGGTAGTGTAAAAAATTTCCTAGATGATGAATCCTGGTGATAAATTTCTGCTAACATTTTTGCTGCATCATTAATTTGTTCTATCAGAGATTTTGTGTTTATGTCGCCCTTAAATATGTTTGTCAATGCTCTTCCGAGCGAAGTCATTACCTTTCCTGTCATGTTTTGTCGAAAAACAATTCTTTTATCTCTTTTTAAAGAAGTGTCTGAGAAAGAGGCGGCCACTTCTGGATTTAAAATTGGTGCAACTGCACCTGGGAAGTTTTTGGGAGTGGGGTATTTTTTAATCAAAGCGTCTCTGGCATCTTTTCCCAGACCTGTTGTCAGTATTTTTGTCCATCTGTCTGCAAGTTCTTGTCTAATTGGTTCTCCTAATTCCGTTTTGTCTTCTCCTTCGGTACCCAATGCTTTTAGAAATTCTTCTGGAAGGTTTTCCTTTTCTTCATCTGAAAAAATACCTCATCTATAGTTTATTTGCTATACATATACCAAGTCTATTTGCTTGTGATAGCGTTAATTTTAAAGAGATTGTTTACATTTTGTCTGCCCGCACTATGATAGTGCATTATAATTTTTAACATGACAAGTAGTCTACCCGCACAGTGGTAGCGCTTTATTTCTTTTATCAATACAAGTTGTCTACCCGCTAAGTGGTAGCGCGTTAGTAAATACTTATCATTACAAGTTGTCTACCCACAAAGTGGTAGCGCATTAGTAATTTTTAATCATTACAAGTTGTCTACCCGCACCGTGGTAGCGCATTAGTACTGTTTTTATATTGGACTGTCAGTTACCACAGGTAACTGCTTTCTTCTCCATGCGTTTAAAGAATTATGTAAGTTTATTAAACTATACCTGTAGCAGTATTTTCCATTTCCGGTTGAAGTACGTCTGCTGGTGTCGGAGTTGGAGGTTTTTGAGGTATTGGTGTTCGTAGCGGTGGAGTTTGTGTTGATGAACGTTTCTCTTCATTTAGTGTTTGTAGTTTTTTCTCTAGTTTTCTCATTTTCTTTTTTATGTATTCTTCGTCTTCATGTTTACGTTTTCCCATTTTTCTTCCTCTTTTGCTTAGTCTTAACAAACTTTTTTATGATAAACTTTTAAAGCGGAAGAAGTAAACCGCGTACGAAACGTCAAAAATTTTCACCCGTAAGATGTAAATATAAACGTCAATCCCGTTTAACCTATGTGTACACACTCGCTTACCGCAAAAAAATAAGGCGTTAGACGAGTCGTGAGTCGAAAGTGTAAATGCAGATTTTTTTATAAATTAATGAACGAAAATTTTGTTTATGTAAAAAATATGGCGTACTTCACCTGTAAATTACTTGATTGAAGTTGGGTTTTCACTGATAATAGTATGGAAAAAAAACATTATTTTACAATGCCATAACATTTCAACATTAACGTAGTTTAGAATGACGTTACTTTTTAACTCGTGTCGTATCATCTTTTACAACAAACTTATTTTAAAACAAAATACACGTACCGGCGCTTTGCACAAAAAGTCGTAATGACATTAGAGTTGCCATATCTAAACAAATATACGGCCTAGAAGTTTTTTGTTTTAGATCTTTAAAAATTGTGACGGCGCTTGTACAATCAACGTATACTACATCGTTAAACCGTCTCGGACAAGGAGAGAGCATAATAATAACTTGTAAAAATTACTGCAGTGAAGTGTAAAAACAGGATTTTGTATCACATTTTCACTAAACAAATACATTGTGTTATCATTTAAAAGGTTATTTTATGCAATTATATAGTATTTTTAATTTATATATAAATGAATTGAAAATATAAATCACAAAAGCTAACAAAATAATCAAATAGCTAACTATCCTTTTTCTACACATTGCATGCGAAAAAGGTGGAAAGAGACCCATTACGTTAATTTCAAGAAGCTTATATAAACTTCTTGGTCATTTTCAATTGTTCGAACCACAAGCGATTGAAATATTTAGAACAAAGAAACTATAGAGTCGCTTTGATTATCATCTTATTTTTAAAATGATTTTTTGTTAAACGTTAATTACGAAAACTACAGTAGGAGGTTGCAAAAAATAAAAAATTTCAAACTAAATTTAATAGTTAAAATAAAAGTAACAATGTAAAGATGTCTAGTGGTCAATGTTAGAACCAAAAGTGAAGTAAAATTATAATAAAAATGTAAATGCATGTCGGGTGTCCAGTGGCGGCACGTTCCGCAGCGTCAGCGCCTCGTACCGCTCCGCTGTTGCGATGTACAATCGAGGTCGCTATTCATCAGCGATTATCATGTTACACAGGCTCGTAACACGTTAGCAATAACTAATAAAATATTGTTGTACTCGTTTTACGGCTTGGAATTACGTATCAGAAGTCGAAACACATTGGCCCGAAATAACGTTAGCTCGAATTTTCAAAATGTCAAATTCATTTTTTTGGGAATATTACAAATCAAAAGTTAATTTTGTCTTTGTGAAAATCATCAACATTTCTTGAAAATGTAACGGTTTTATTATAAATCGGTTTTTGGAATTACGGATACTTGAGTTTACTTTTAGTTGAAATATCGATACATTGCTTATAGTATACGCTAATTTTCACATTTATAATATTTGCATGTATGTATTTGGCCGACTCTATTATTTCTTTAGGTTTATTTGTATAAAATTCGACATAATAATATATATAAAAATTATTTAATATTTACAATAAAGGCAGTTTCATTACTCTTATGTTCAAGTAGTTTTCAGTCGAAGCCAAATATGGTGCAAAGTCAAAGTCAAAGTCAAAGTCAAAGATTATTTATTCCATAGGTAAAATAAATTTACACTTGAAAACGTCACATTTAAGCTACATTTAAGCTACTGCTCGTTCACTACGCTGACCTCCCTGAGAAGAACGAGCAAGAAACTCTAGGGATTGCTCTTTTCAAATAAACTTAAATGCTATGGAATACACTTTGAATCAAATTTGTGTGGATTCTGGAGCCATGTCGTCTTTCCATACATCTTTATCTAACACGTAGTCTTCAATTTTGTAATATGATTTTTCGATCAAAATATTTTTAATGTAGTTTTTAAACTTGGGAAATGATAAACTTAATATATGCTCCGGAATCTTATTGTAAAAACGTATACAGTTCCCCATAAAAGAGTTGTTTACCTTGGTTAAACGAAATCGTGGTACCATGAGTTTGGACTTAGCTCTAAGGTTAATATTATGGATATCTTCTTTCTTATTGAAATTATGTATATTTTTACGGGCATATAAAATATTTGAGTAAATGTACTGTGATGCCACAGTCATGATACCAGTCTCCTTAAACTTTTCTCTGAGAGATACCCGAGAGCCTAGACGGTACACAGAACGAATCGCTCGTTTTTGCAATACAAATATGGTTTGAATATCTGCTGCTTTACCCCACATGAGAATCCCGTAGGACATTATACTATGGAAGTAGCTAAAGTAAACTAGTCTAGCAGTACTAACATCGGTAAGCTCATGTATTCTGCGGACTGCGTATGCAGCGGAGCTTAATCTGCTGGCCAGAGACGATATATGTGGAAACCACTGAAGTTACTATCTAAGGTCACTCGCAAGAAGACTGCTTTATTAACAAGGTCTAACTTTTCTCCGTTTATTTCTATGCTTGGACTAGTCGATTTTACGTTAGGTAATTCAAATTTAACACATTTTGTCTTCTTGGCATTAAGCAATAAATTGTTAGCAGTAAACCAATAAACTACCTTAGAGAGGGTATCATTAATACGGTCATAGTTAATGTCATGTCTGTCTGTTTTAAAAATCAAGGATGTGTCATCAGCAAACAACACTATTTCGCAATGGTCCTTAACAAAGAATGGCAGATCATTAATATAAATCAGAAATAAGAAAGGTCCAAGTATTGAGCCCTGCGGAACACCCATTTTTACTGGAGAACCCAAAGAAGTCACTCCATTTATGTCTACTTTCTGAATTCTACCGTTGAGATATGACAAGTTTCGACGCCTTGCCATTTACACCGTAATGTTCCAGCTTCCTAATAAGAGTATTATGATCAACGCAATCAAATGCCTTTGAGAGGTCACAGAAAACACCAATAGCGTTCTGGGACCTTTCCCAAGCATCAAAGATGTGTTTTAGTAACGCTACCCCCGCATCGCTAGTCGATCTACCACTAGTAAACCCGTATTGTTCACTATGAATAATAGGATTCCTACCGAAATAGGACAGTAATTGAGTTAGCATAACCTTTTCGAATATTTTACTTAAAGCTGGTAAAATTGAAATGGGCCTGTAGTTGCTAGGATCAACTTTCCTACCGCTTTTGAATAAGAGAATAACCTTGCTGTATTTCATTAAATCGGGAAAAACACCTTCGTCAACGCACCTATTGAAAGCTACAGCTAACTGTGGGGAAATGAGATTAATAACTGAGTCTATAACTTTAGTTGATATGCCCCAGAGATCTTCAGTTTTTTTAACATGTATTGACTTAAAAGCTTTTATGATGTCTTGTGGATTAACATGACGAAAATTAAATAAACTGCCACAAACGTTAACATTTTCCTTTAGGAGATCAATAGGAAGTGAAGGGGATTTTGTAGTGTTCACAGCAATTTCCGAAAAGAACGATTCAAAAGCTTGGGCTACTTTATCTTTAGATTTTATAAGTTTGCTGTCTAATTCTAAAACTATATCTCTATCGTGTAGTTTAACCCTGACTGACTCTTTATTTATTATGCTCCAAGTAGTTTTAGATTTATTTATCGATTGTCTAATTTTGTCGCTGTGAAACTTAACCTTAGCAGCTACACAAACTTTTTTAAATATTTTCGAATAAATTCTAACATATTCTTTGTAATTGGAATTAGTATTATAGGTTTTCATAGCATATAGCTCATACAAACGAGACCTACTCTTATGAATACCTACTGTTGCCCAGTCGTTGAATTTAGTCTCTCTATGGAAAGTTAATGTTTTCGATGTAAATATATTGTCAAATTCATTTTTAATTAAACCAAATATCGTGTTATATAAAGTATTTGGATCCTCCGGTATATGGGATAGGGAATTTAAACTATTGCCGATATTATTTTGAAATCTAATTATTCGTTCTGTGGTAATCGGTCTGCAGAGAAATTGGTCTACCTTCTTGCTCATTTTACAATTAAAAGAAGCCAATTGGCCACTATGGTCGGATCTTAAGCAATTTATTATTGATTTAGACACTGCGTCTGTGTTACAAAAGATGTTATCAATACAAGTAGAAGAGGAGGCAGTAATGCGAGTTGGTTCTAAAAAAAGATTAATCAAGTTAAAACTTTGAAATAAATTTATGAGTCTTACAGAAGTAGAACAGTTTTCCAACAGGTTTACATTGAAATCTCCACATATTACTACGTTTTTTTTGGTTGGAAAAATCCGCTTTAAACTGTCTTCCATAATTAATTCAAACTCGTTAAAATTAGCAGATGGGGGCCTGTATACACATAAGACGACAAACTGATCCAATTCCACACATGAAATCTCAATAGTTCGTTCAGTAGAAAGATTTGTGATATCCTTACGCTCTTTAAATTTTAAGTTACGCTTAGTAATAATCATGGATCCGCCTCTACTTAAGCTCTTTCTTATGAACGAACTGACTATTACATAATTTTCTATATTGTTAATGGCTTCGTAATCTTTCAGCCAGTGTTCTGTAACACAAAACACGTCAACGGAAATATCGTGCAAAAAAAGACTTATTTCTAATGTTTTGCCAGAAAAGCCTTGAATATTTTGATGTACTACATGGAAACGATTAGACTTTTCTGTTGTCGTGTTTTTCAGTTTAAATTATGGTTAGTAAAAAGTATACTGTTGCTACTTAAAGTAGGAGCATTGTCGTGGGACTGTGTTATATCTTCTATAACAGCGTCCTTAATATTAAAAGATAGCAAACTAGCTATATGTCTTAGATACCTTAGGGGTAAAAGTAAATTATCCTCAAAAAGTTTAAAGTTCCTTACGAACTTATTAATGTCAAAACAAAATATAACGTCACTATGACGGCAAGTCAAATTATGAATGTGCGAATTTATGTTATATATATACTTATTACGAGCGATGCCTAGGTTAGAGCAGTAAGGGAATGCACTTAGTATGAATTTACACCCATGCATTGCATTGCATTTTGTTAAGTTTCCAGTAGAAGCTGAATATGGTGTTAATGGGCCCTTAAATTGCTGCAAGCAAAATTAGGCAGTACTGCAATGCCGTTACAATTTAAAATATATGTTTTAGTTTTTTTAAATTTCGTTACATGTCATTACGTTTGTATCGGTTAACTTCGGACATTTCTTTCGTGGTTTTTGTATTAGACCCTATGATGACTTCTACTGTATTTATTGTTCTGTGACAAATATAATAATACACCTTAAGAAGTGATTCTCGATTAATAATGTTAAGCGTTTTTTACTTTGTAGATACATTCTATGTAACATTAAATAATAAACGGTACAGGAGAATTCAGATTTTCAGTACAATGTGTAGAGAGTGAAGTGGACAGAAAACTGATGATAAAATTGTAGTATCTCCTAAATGGGAATGTAAACAAAGTTTAGTAATCGATTTTCATGACGAATACAATTAGTTTATTTGGCACATCACTGCTTTTTAAACTTTTTGGTTATATATAAAACAAAGTAACTCAAGATAGATATTGAGATATTGCTTATTTTGTTACAGAGATTTTTTTCCTTTATTCGGTTTTTGCAGTGTTGTATTAAATATGTGCCATTTACACTTTCCTAAAACCACTCCGGCTTACTTTAACAATTTTTTTGCTATTATCTAATTGAGACTTCTGCCCAGCAACTCCCATATCTTTTCTATACAAGTTTTGGTTATAGTGACCCTCCAGTTCTCCCTATCATCCTTTTGGTTATGTGGGAAGGGCGCAATAGCCCGTGCGTGCACAGGAACCTTCTAAGTTCGGGGTTCTGACCCCAGATTAGCCAGTCTACAGAGTTGTCACAGACCGTTGTCACTGATTTCAATCGGTTCTCAAGAGGCTAGTGCCTCGGATGAGCGTACAGTACCCTCCTTATTTTCCAAATAGGTACCAGAGCTGTAGGCACGCTTACTTCCCGTTGCGCATTGCACAACTAGCGGTTGCCACCGCTAAGCCGTCGACTTTAAAGTCCACTACCAAATTTCCACATTGGTGGCGGAGCTGTAAGCCACGCTAACTTCCCGACGCTGAAAAACAGCGTCTCTCCAGTTCCCAATAACCTAAGCGGCTGGAGGGACCGGAAGATCTTCACCCAGCAGTGGGACACATTAAGTAATAAAAAAAATTGTCAAGTATCTATAATTTTATTAAAGACAATGGTTTGCCAGAGCAGCTTGAGTCGCTGTAGCTGCAGGAAATAATACTAATTGCTTATTTCATTTCACTAATTTCTGTACACGTAATGTTAATTGTCCAAAAATCAATGACTAATAACTTCGTACTAGAGTCTGCAAAGTGAAAACCACTTGCGCCTTTCGCTGAAATTGCCTTAACGAACTGAGTTGAGTCTTTGTGAACGATTCGGACGAGAACTGCGGGTTTTTACTACATTTTGCTTTGTGATGTTTTACAAACAGTACATTTACTTTTTTTCCTAGAGGTGGTTCAAAGTAAAAATTTCGATTAGTCCATAAATTTTGATCAGTTGGTGCAAGGGAATATTTATTTAAGCCCTGCAATTCGCAGACCAAGAGGTATCCTCGGGTTTGAATGGAATAGTAATTACTATCTTCTCCTGTAACCGGAGTACAATAACAAGCCTTGAGAATATCGGTTTTTATTGAATGCTGTCTTATTCGCCAGCACATCAAATAAATTTTTAGAAGGTATTTTTTGTCGGCAACGGTGACTTTATGTGATATGCGATGAGCACCGTGTCAGCTGCAAGAAGGCTTAATGGACGGACGATATATTGAAAGTGTTTTACACCAACAAGTGACAAGGCGCTTTACTAAATGTATTTCATAATGTGCAACGTCATTATCTCAATTAAATCACTGATAAATCTCAGATGGAGATAATCAAAGCGACATCATGTTATTAAAAGGAATTAAGTCTATAAATCCAATTACTTCCGACAAGGATGCCCTCCATCGACCTTTTACATGTTTATTAATTTTCATTTAATTAATTCGTTGTTTTGTATTCGTTGTGTTCAAGATTTAGGTTTAAAAATTTATTTGAGACAAAGGAAATAGACTGGTTTAATTCCTGGTGAGACTAAATGGGTGTTACTATACGTTCAGTGATGTCAATCTCTTTAAATGTGGCAGCGTGTCGGGCCAACAAAGGTTTGACCGAAAGTTTTCTTAATGGTCTCCAAAGGCTGGTGAAAGACAAGGTAAATTTCTTGGAAAATAAATTTCCTTTAGCCACTTCTTCTCTCTTCATCTTTCTTCAATCGATCAGGATCCGAGTTGTGGCGTCGTATAAATTCGATTTATTTCTTCGCCTTTTTGACTTCTTCTCACAAACCCGGAGTGCCGAGAACAAACGTGCAATTCAACTCAGCACAGCATTCGTTCTTTCCAAACGGTTGCTAAAGCTTAGGACTTAGTCAGATAACAGAGTGAACTTCTTTTTTCTATTAAAGTCGTGTGAATTGATTGGGGTTCCAAAAATATTTATTTGGAGAACCCTGCAAACAAATAATAAAAATTGTACCTTAGAAACAACCTCAAATCCTCGAAATAATTTCCCACTGGACCATCACCGTGAGTATAATCATAAATGAAATTTATTAACATATTATAAAAAAATCATTTTAGGAAATGAAACTATTTTTCCGGATTTAAATAGTGTATATTTGTTTTTTCAAACAAACCAACGTTTCGGGCCCTTTACTGATCCCATGGTCACGGTTGACTGAGGTGGTACAGTCATCAACTTGTTATGCCTAATGTTATTTTACATAGTTGCAAAAGTTATTAATTAAATACGTAATTTTTAATTTTACAAAGAACATTGCAATTTTCGCTACATATGTTTCATGGATTTGCAATTCCCAGGATGCTGCGAGCCTAATTTCAACAAGCGAGACGATTTTTCTGTATCACCAGTTTGGAATCCAGTATTTTCTTTGATGAAAAATCTCGAACAGACGTAACACTGCAGTCACACATGTCAATCTACTGAGTAGATTGACATGTTTTCAGTTATTCTAATATCCATTATTAATTAATAATAAATTTAACTTAATAAAAATTGATATTGTTAAAATAAAATAATTTGTAAAATGTATGTAGCGTAAATTGGAATGTTCTTTTTGTAGAATTAAAAATATGTTTTATACATGATTAAGTCCAGAACTAAAAATGAAATAATTAAAAATAAGGTATTTAATTAATAACTTTGGTAAGTATAGTGGAAAAAATAGGGTGGTTTGTATTAATATTAGACATAACTGGTTGATGACTTTATCTCCTCAGTCAACCGTGACCATCGAACCTGTAAAGGGTCCGAAACATTGGTTTGTTTGAAAAAAAATACGCGATTTAAATCCGGAATAATCTCAGTACAGAGTACTAAAAAAACCGACCTCAAAATACGTGGAATTACATCTAGTTGCCAAGTTTTATTGAAATCGGTTATCGGAAAGTGAAAAGAGATAATAAAAATCGGTTCTCACTACTCAAACTATATTGAGAGAGAAAAACGGCTTGAATTGGAGAATAGCAAAATCAACCATTAAAATAATTGCTCCATTTTATTTTAATCAACCATTAAAATAAAATTTATAAAAATGAATCTTTATGCGTGAACAGCGGCCCTTAGAGGTGGATGATTTTCTTCAAAATTAAACGGGACCACTATGTAGGCAATGTAATCGGTTCACAAATACCGGAGTTATCGCGTAACATACATACGAAAAAGAAACATACAGTCGATTGAGAACCTCCTCCTTTTTTTAAGTCGGTTAAAAATAGTTTAATTTTCTATGTGTACGCGAAAACCTAAGAAGTCGAGACTACTTTCTCTTCAGAGTACAATTAGATATGCGTAAAACTAACATTATAAGTTAAATAAAAATTTATCACAACAGACTATAGTATCAATCAGTGCAAAAATTATTGCAATCTCTGAATAAAAATTTTAAAAATAATTCATAATATGTGGATATAACATCGCTCCAAGATGCCGTATAAACAATTGAATACGTCATTTCGCGGTGCGGGTTGGAACGAGACCGAGGAGTGGGGGGACCTGGACGTGTTCTATAGACCTGACGTGGTGATCATAGTGCTGTATGTGGCTGTGCTGACGGCCTCGCTATCCGCCAATACGCTGCTCATCTTCATTGTAATTAAATTCCAATACATGAGAAGGTAAGTGATAGTTTTAAGCAAAATACACTTGGTCGAAAAGGAATTACTACTTTTTATCCCTGGAGGTCATAAGGATTCTTGCTTGTTCCGTGGTTACAATAAAATGAATTACATTGCTTAACATCTGAGCTGGTCACATGCGCTAAAGTGTCGGCGGCGTTCAACTACAGCTTCTAATATTAATCAATTCAATTTATCAACACGCCTTCCGTCTTGGTCTACGGGGACAATTTGCGCGCACTCGCGCACGGTTTACATGTATGTACATGCGTCCTTCACGGCGCATCAACACGAACGCAGCTAAGTTTTAGACGGTTTGTTGTAACGTTAGTGGCCATACGGGAATTTAGAGCGATATAGTTTTATTTACATAGGAGAAATATTACTTTCATCCTTACTAAGCCTTCTTCACATTCTTCACCCATATCAACGACATAAGAATGGAGTGCTCCGGACCTTCTAGTCGACCGAAGGAGGAACGGTGAGGGTGGAACTAAATTGAAAAGTTCCTACGCACACTCCCCGAAATGTATCCGATAGAAAACCGACAAGCAGGCTACCTTTCTGTGATGGTCGACATTTTTAGCTTCGACTCTACAAGAGAATTGTTGTTTATAAGTCTCTTTGCTTTTCGTTCCACCGAGTATAAGGTAGCTCACTGGTAATGGGCAGAGCCGTCCCAAGAGTGGCAGCAGTACTCCATACACGATCGAACTTGTGATTTATACAGATTTGAAAGCTGTTCAGGTGTGAAGTACCGCCTAACCTTGTAAAGTATGCCTAGTTTTCTGGCAGCAGTTTTTGCCAAGCTCTCGATGTATCGCCCAAAGTTGAGGTTGGATGATAAGTCTAGACCAAGCAGCTCAAGGTGGACCCTTATCGGCATTAGAGTGGCGGAGAAGACAGATCCCTGAGGTACACCGGCATTTATACCATGAGGAGCAGACGAGTTACCATCTACAACTACACGGATTTACCTATCCTTCAGAAAATCGCCTATCTATGTGCAAAAGCCAACAGGAATTCCGTAAGTTGGAAGCTTGTTTAACAGGCTATCATACCAAACCGTGTCAAAGGCCTTTGATATGTCGAGAGACACGGCAAGCGAATCACCGCGTTTCTCGATAGTCTCGCCCCATAAATGTGTGGTATACGCAAGACGATCGCCAGTAGATTGACCACGGCGAAAACCATACTGTCGATCACTGAGAAGATCGTTATCTTCGAGGTATCCAAGGAGACGGTTGTTCAATACGCGCTCCATAGTCTTACAGAGTATGGAGTTGATTGCGATAGGTAGATAATTAGATGGGTCGGCATGACTACCTTTCCCAGGTACACGCTGTACATTTGTAAGCTTCCTGGTTTTCTGGACTTGTCCAGAACTCATAGAGAGGCGATACAGGCGAGTCAACACCGGACACAACTCGGGTGCACGACAATCGCTGTTATTTCGTTAGGGCCACTGGCTTTGTTGAGGTCTAATTTGCGTAACGTTTTCAACACCTCTTTTTGACGGATAGTGATCTCGGGCATTTCCGAGTCACAGTAAGATAATGTAGGTGGTGTTTGCAAAGTAGCGTCAAGACGGGAGTTGGAAGCAAAAAGAAAAATAAAAAGATTGGTTTTCTCTTCAGCGGTGTAAGCCAGCGATCCGTCAGCTCTCATTAAAGGCGGAAGGGATGACTTGCAGAAGTTTGCTTCGACCGATTTAGCGAGAGACCAGAATGCTTTATTCCTGATGGGTATGAAGCTATCCTGGCCCTAATACGACTAATATGGTCGAAGTGAGCTTTCCGTGTCGCTTTTTTGCAGGATCTAGCGGCTTTATTAAAGGCTTTCTTCAAACGGAGGGTTTCTGGTGTTTTGCGAACTTGAGCATCAGTCCAAGCCTGGTACGCAGATTGCTTTAGCGTTTCCGCTGAAGCACACTCAGTGTTAAACCAAAGGCGAGCTTTGCCGCTGGGGAAGACTTCGAAATACGGAATAAAGTATTCCATAGCCCGAATAATCACCTCTGAGACGGCAGACGCGCAGCACGTCGGATCGTCAGAAGAGAGGCACAGCTGCCGCCAGGGATAAGATTGGCGACTCTCGTCTAAAGAGACTGCCACAGCGAGTCGGTGATAATAGACGGCGTCTAAAGCCGCCATAATACTATTTTATTAAATAGAATATTAAAACAGGAAAACAATGCGTAGGTACGTGCCTGTGCGTGTTTTGTCTTTAAGAACAACACACTAAATTCAATTAATTTTGTTCAAATCACAACTCAATTATGTTTGTTTACAATAGAATTTTATGACATTTCTTTTACACACATTTTTAAATTGCTCTTTTATAGACTTGAATTCGTAGATATTGACATTTCAGTGCGTTTGAAATTTCGATTACGGAAATTTTATCGGTGTTTCAGGTAGTCACGGAACGTCTTTTAACGTATCGCATGCGGTGTAGCTATAGTTTAAGTGTAGCTTAGTTTTGGTTTAAACCTTTCAAATTATTAGCGCCATTGCACTTTGTACATCGGTAAAACGTTTTGTTTATAATAATGTACCAAAGCTAAACTTGTTCCGTTGAGCGGTTAAACCTTTCGAAAATAGCGCGATTGGCCTCGTGTTCGGATCCGCCGCTGTAGGTAACTTCAAAGGCGCGGCCTATGCTCTCGCAACAAATCCGACTACGCGCCGACACGCGCGTCGGCCCGACTGCCCAGTCAACTCGGCGCGTGTGTCATCACGGGCCGCAGGAACGCACCATTAATGCGGACGCAACGATTTGTGTAGTAGTGCAGACGAATATTTTTTTTCAATACCATATAAAAGTTTAGTTGTAAGAGAAATGTTGTAGGGCTAAGGAGTTTCTATGTGTTTGGAGTAGAAATATCAATAAACAATAAAAAATAAATAAAGTAATTTCTAAATGGATATACATTGTTACGAATTCTATTTATCTGATACAGATTTTAAATGCTTTAATTTCTTTTTGTCAAATAAAAATAGCAAAGCAAAGTAAGCGGCCGTAAAGAGGTCGCGGAGCTGGCAGTGGCGACGGACCGTCGAGGATGGATGAGGCTACACGGACCAGAGTACGGCTCTTAATTAGGATGTGAAAAAGTGCCAGCCTCAAAGTAGCTGTCTTTTAATTTTATTTCATGTATGAGCAGAATCATACGCATGCATAATTTATTTAAATTACAAAAACTGACTATTTTCGTAAAATTGTTACAAAATGTTGTTCATTCCTTATAAATAACGCAAATAGGAGGAGTGCAAGTGATTTGAAGAATATTGTGGAATTAACTCCCGCCGACGCGACGTTTCGAATGAAGCACAAGTAGCAAACTCGTAGCTTAGACTTCTCCGTACGGCTCGGGTTTAAAGTGTTATCTCGTTTGGAATAGCCTACTTTCCGCCCTTGTAAAACAATGTACTATTGTTTACGTTGCCGTTAGCTAAAACCAACCCATTTACAAAATTAAGGCAATTTAGTAAAGCAGTATCTTTGTAAGTAATATATTTTATTATTAACGCCATATTAAAATAATTTTAATCTAAATTAATATTGAAAACAACCATTTTGGCCGTACATGTAAATGTAGTGTAGGTATCGTTGGCTGACGTTTGATGACCTTTTCCGGACGATGAACTGAAAGGGGGCAAGTATGAAACTAATTGTTTTAATTCAATTCAATTATTTATTTGTTTAGGCATGAATCCCATTACATTCATTATACATTACAGTTTTAGAGGCATCCAACTTATTTACTTTTTGGTACTATGTAATTCTTAAAATAAAAGTAAATTTTCTTCCTCACAGCTAAAGTTACCCATAACTCAAATGTATTTATTGATACTGAGAACTGTGTAAGTAAAACTGAAATGATCGTAACTTAGATAAGTTTAAACAAAATGTAGGAATAACAATTGAACGGTTTTCGTGCAACCGGTACATAATTGTAGTAGGTCAAATGCATTTGTTCAAGTTTGTAGCACGTCTAGTTAGAAAAACATACTCCTATTCCGAGGCACTCACGTCATGAAAGCACTAAAAGCACAGTAAAAATTTAACGTCCTCACGGACAGTTGACTTAGGCACTGGAAATGACCACATGATAAATATTAAAAGACGTAATTGCTACAACTAATGCCGGATGATATTAAATCATAAGTTTCGAAGAAATGGCATCAACCTGTACGTGATCTAGGGTGCGGGGTGCTGGGTGTAGGGTGCGAGATGCTCGCTGCCAGGCTAGAGACCGAGACTCCTGCGGTGAAAGCCCAGTGGCCGCTGCGCGCTGCCGTTTGTCAACGAGTTAATGGGGTTGCTCAGTTGAAATAGTTCAGATATTACCATAAAGAGGACGCCAATGAAATTAGTTTATTTGTCACAGCAATCTAGCTGGCTTGTGAAGTGCACATGAATTTACTTTACATTATAAAAATAAATCCATTTTACACAACTTTAAGGATACTTTCAAACCTGTCTCCGAATGTGACGCTCAGGTCTAAGAAGAACCTTATTCTAACATATTTAGGCATTATGTTAGGCCTATTCTTGGTAAAAATTTAATAAACCAGCGTTTGAATGGTGCGCGGTGTGGAATGGTAGCTGCGGTGTGAAACGGTGGCAGCGGCGATGGCTCTAGCGGTATGACTCTAGTAACACTTAGGAAATAAGATACAATTTTTATTTTTTACAGGGATTGGATTGGAATGTGGTGGGTGAACGCAACGCTATTGATATAGATAAATATTATGTTAGGGGTCAACTATGAAGTTACCAATCCAAAGTTCTGGCCACTTTGAACTGGAATAAAGTCCTTTCAGTGTACTTTTTAAAATAAAGTGCAGAGTTCTAAAAGTAACAATTTTGGTGTTATATATTTGTTTTCATTTATAGTCAATTACATAACCGAAATGCTTATAATTTTTGAATACGTGTCCCGACATGCAACTAACTGGAGGATATTTGAATTAAAAATAACCTCGCGTAAGTGT